GTTGTTATGAGTTGTGCTTGATGCAATGGCAAGCAGCAACAACAACAATGTCCTTCAGGCTCCCGCATAGTGTGACGTTTTATGAGTTCATTACTTATCAATGCTGTGTAATATTCCATTATGTGAATGTACCATAATTTTTCTATTCTTTGTTTGTTGATGGCCACTTAGATTGCTTCCATCTCTTGGCTGTTGTCAATAACGCAGCAATAAACACAGGCATGCATCATTTGATTTCTTGAGTTCTGTTTCCATGGGCATTAACTGTGGAGCTAAGTACAATGAGATCCTTGACAATTTCAATCCTGTTCCTATACACGATCATGTTGCTTATGGGTCTAGTTGTAAGGATGATTGTTTTCTTTATGTTGCGGTATTAATCCTTACTGAAGCCTAGATGGTCTTTGAGCTTCATCAGTAAGTGCCCCAAGTCCTCTTTGCTTAGCAAGGAAGGTTATGTCATCTGCATGTCACAGGTTCTTACTGAATCTTCCTCCAACCCTGATGCTGCTTTCTTTGTCATCGAGTCCAGCAGTTTCAAATTACTTGCTTAGCATACAGATTGAGTGAGCCCGGTGGAAGGAGAGGACTCCGACACACACCTTTCCTGATTTGAAAGCATCTTCCCCTTGCTCTGTTCTCCCTGTCTTTGCACAGATTCTACATGAACACAATTAAGTGCTCTGGAATTGTCTTTTTTCACAATGTTAGCTATAATTTTTTAGGATCCACATGGGTGAATATCTTTGAGTAGTCACTAAAACACAGACAAACATCTGCCTGTTATTCTTTGCTTCCAGCCATGATCCATCTAGCATTAGCAAGGATATCCCTGATTCCACAACTTCTTTTGCATCCAGCTAGAATTTTTGACAATTCCCAGTTGATATACCGCTCCAACCAATTTATTTTATTTTTAGGTAAAGACAGAGGCAAGCAAGAGAGTTAAAAATAGAGAAAAGTTCATTAAGAAAAAGAAACTGGGGAGGAGGGTAGAGAGAATGGTGCAGTAATGAAGGAATGAAAACCCAAAATCCCTGTAAATGTTCATTAAAACTAATAAAATTTAATAAAAAAAAAAAGATGCTGAGCTCCAATCTCAAAGACAAGCAGTTCGAATCCACCTTCCAATAAATCAGTCGTTTTGTAATCTAATCAGACCTGTTTCTGATTAGATCTGTTTCTGATTAAGTAAAAAGTAATGATAGTTGTAGAGGAGATTGAGGTTGCTAACAATAACAGCTTGCTTGGCTCCATAGTCAACACTTTTGGCAGCAGCAGTTAGGGAATTAAAAGACGAATTGCATTGGGGAAGTCAACTGTCAGGGACCTCTCCAGAGTGCAGAGAAACAATGATCTCAGTCTAGAGACTAAGATGTGCCTGATCCAGGCCAGGGTCTTTGCAATTACATGCTATGCATCAGAGAGCTGGACAATAACTAAGGAAGACAGAAAAATTGATGTTACTGAGTTATGATGAATTATGGTGAGTTAGAATTGAGTTATGGTGCTGGAGAAGAGTCTTGAACATATCATGGATTGCCAAGAGAACAATTAGGTCTGTGTTGGAGAGGATGAACCAACAGGAGGTCTGTGTTGGAGAGGGTGAAACCAAGTTTCTCCTTGGAGACAAGAATTTTGAAGCTCAGTCTCACATATTTTGGGCACGTGGCCAGGAGGGAACAATCCTTGGAGAAGGACATCATGTTTGGAAGGGTAGCAGGACAGCCCAGGAGAGGAAGACCCTGGTTGAAACGGATTGACATGATAAGTGGGGCAATGGCATTAGATGTGTTAGAGTCAGTGAGACTGGCTCAGGATGGGGTGGGGTTTGGAGCTGCTGTACTTAGGGTCATTGTGAGTCATAGGTGACTCAACAGCAAATAACAAAAAGCAGCCAGTATCAAACAGCTACTACAGCATTTGGGAAAGTGTTCAGACTGTAAATATTGAAGGCTTTATAAGGTGTTACAGGAAATTTAGGGAACAGTATCAAAAGACATACTATGTATGGTACTACAAATAAGTAGAGAAAGTTAATGACAAAAGAAGAAGAAGTGGAGGGAATTTTGGCAGAAGAGGCAATAAAACCCACTTGAAGGAGATGGCAAAACAAGGTATCAGAGTCATTGAGGTCTGTGATGAAAATCAGCATAAGATTCAAAGAACTGTCCCTCTCACTGTGCCCAGAATAATGGACTGGCATTCAGCCATGCAAAGCATTTTCAAGTACGCAGAGGAGAGTGACCTTATTTATACTTGAACGCAGCCTCTTACTGAGCTATGTGAGCTCCGTTGCTTTTGTCCCTGTGGTAACTGATAGTCCAGGATACCCATATCAGAAATGTCTAGCAATATTGCAGGGTAACCCCGGAGCCAGCAAAAACTTCAGGGGCTGCCATTTATTGTCCCAACGTCCCTGACAGCCTCAGATTTAGAAATCTCACCAGAATGAGCACTGTGTAAGAATTAAGACCCTGGTTCTAAGTCATAGTTCTACCACCAGCTGCTGGTGGCACAATCTGTGAGGAATTGTGCTACTGACCCAAAAGCAGCACCTTTCTGGTGGTTCGAATCCACCAATGGCTCCTCAGGTGAAAAATGGACAATTGAGAGGCGTTCTGCTCTCACTTTAGTCCCAAGGCAACATCTTTGATTTTTTAGTACTTTAAAGAGAACCTTCAGCCCCTTCTCCCCGATGGTTGGTGCTGAGCGTGTGTAGTGTGTGCTCCAGGCTCAGAACACATATTTATCATTATTTTTTTTTTTAAAAATTAAAACCTTTGTGAAACAATGAATGAATGGACATCTAAATTCTCTATAAACTTTTGTTAAAATATCAATTTAAAAGAAGAATTTTAAAAATTTACAAAAAAGGCATTCAGCAGATTTACCAAATTCAATATGCCATTTAGTTTCTTTTTTCTCATTTTTTAAATAATATTTATTTTTTCCTTGTTGATTGTTGTGCATCCCTAGTTCCAGATTGTTGTCATACATATAATGCCGAATCATATATTCCTTCAGGACAGTTCTTCCCGTTACCCATTTAATGCAGTGTTCCTTGTCTATCCCCTTTTTCTGCATTCTCTCCCCAACTCCCCCAGGTCTGTCCTATTTTATATCTGCAGTGTTATACAATGTTTGCTCTTTTGTGACTGAGATATTTCACTCAGCATAATGTCCTCCTTCGGAAGCAGGAGTGGCATCCACTTCCTAAACCACATGCCTCTGGGAACTCTATGAACTTGGATAAATGATGATAGCTACAGAAAGGCTGCAGGTCTTTTGTTCATAGAGTTGTTATGAGTTGTGCTTGATGCAATGGCAAGCAGCAACAACAACAATGTCCTTCAGGCTCCCGCATAGTGTGACGTTTTATGAGTTCATTACTTATCAATGCTGTGTAATATTCCATTATGTGAATGTACCATAATTTTTCTATTCTTTGTTTGTTGATGGCCACTTAGATTGCTTCCATCTCTTGGCTGTTGTCAATAACGCAGCAATAAACACAGGCATGCATCATTTGATTTCTTGAGTTCTGTTTCCATGGGCATTAACTGTGGAGCTAAGTACAATGAGATCCTTGACAATTTCAATCCTGTTCCTATACACGATCATGTTGCTTATGGGTCTAGTTGTAAGGATGATTGTTTTCTTTATGTTGCGGTATTAATCCTTACTGAAGCCTAGATGGTCTTTGAGCTTCATCAGTAAGTGCCCCAAGTCCTCTTTGCTTAGCAAGGAAGGTTATGTCATCTGCATGTCACAGGTTCTTACTGAATCTTCCTCCAACCCTGATGCTGCTTTCTTTGTCATCGAGTCCAGCAGTTTCAAATTACTTGCTTAGCATACAGATTGAGTGAGCCCGGTGGAAGGAGAGGACTCCGACACACACCTTTCCTGATTTGAAAGCATCTTCCCCTTGCTCTGTTCTCCCTGTCTTTGCACAGATTCTACATGAACACAATTAAGTGCTCTGGAATTGTCTTTTTTCACAATGTTAGCTATAATTTTTTAGGATCCACATGGGTGAATATCTTTGAGTAGTCACTAAAACACAGACAAACATCTGCCTGTTATTCTTTGCTTCCAGCCATGATCCATCTAGCATTAGCAAGGATATCCCTGATTCCACAACTTCTTTTGCATCCAGCTAGAATTTTTGACAATTCCCAGTTGATATACCGCTCCAACCAATTTATTTTATTTTTAGGTAAAGACAGAGGCAAG